TAACTATTGTGCACGAAGTTGGCATTTTAAACACACCACGCTTCGCGGCAGAAAAACTCACCAAACGTGACATTATTAATGTGTCAGACATTCTCAATTCATCAAATAGTTGTGTCTGAATGAAACTAATTGATTTATTTACATATTAGCAGATTTTACATTCATAATTTATTGTAATTTGATATTTTTCATATGTCAGAGTCAAGATTTGCATAAAAAAATTGACAACGGCAGCCATCTTGCATATTTCCGGATGTGACGTAATACTTGTTCGCGCGTGTCACCTTAACCCCCTTTCAATGACGTCAACTTCAGCTTTCGTCAGTCTATATCTAACTTCGGCCAAGTAAAGACGTAGTTAGCGTTCTCTTACAAAAGATGGTAAGAGACACTGCAGAAACGTCGGTCACTAAGCCCATGCCATTTTGAAATTAAACATCCCTACCCTGTCCCACCTTGCCTCTAATCCACCCACAATTAAATCACACTGTTTCTTCGGCCATTTTTGGTCAGTTTGACATATTACTAGGCCTATTAGAATTGGTTTTGTTACGATCGCAACGCAACACGAAAACTAAGAATTACTTTGAGAATTAAAATAGCAAAGCTACATCATATATCTCTGCCTACGTTCATTTAGACATAAATATTAAGTCCACTTGAATGATAGAATTTGTAATGATTTACGATCTTTGCCTTGATTCTTGTCATGTTGTGATTACAACATAGGCTTATCTATTGATGTCACTGTCAGAACATTAGGAAATTGATTCTTTCGGACTATGTTTATCTAGACGCAACTTATTAGGTCCATTTAAACAGTAATAATAGTTCATTTGAAAGTTATGAATTTAAGTTCTGGCAAATTTTTATAATAACAACTTCATTAGAAATTTAGCATCGTTGCAATCGTAACATTACATTGCCACATATCGTTGTAATTGTAACATATCGTTGTAATTGTAACATATCGTTGTAATTGTAACATATCGTTGCAATCGTAACATTCCTTGTAATAACGACGATCGTTGTAAAAATAACAAACCTTTACCTTTACTACTTGATTTAGATGAATGAATTTGACTCTGACAAAGTTATTGTACTATAGATATTTTATTGAAGTATTTTAAATATTATTGTTAATAAATTTGTTATATTTTTATAAATTGGGTTATCTTTTATCAAAGTGCTAGGCTGACACGAACCCCACAGTAACGAGACAGACAGCGTTACACTGATCAACTTGCAAATATGATAGAAGTGAACTGACATGTTCATCTAGAAGGTGGAAAACATGTAATGATTATTCAGTTAAATTAAAATATAAGCCTTCAAGACTGAACCGGTCCTACTAACGGAATATCATACAATGGGATTGAAAGGAGATCTACAAAAGTTGGGTAAAACTGTTAAGTACAAACGGAGTAACTGCATATTATGAAACGGATTTAATATAAGACAAGACTGGTGAATTCTCATTACTACCAAGTCACAGCAGTACCATGGTTAAGAATATCATAATGTGGAGATAAGTGTGTCTATAACCACATTCTGTTAGATGCTGGACAGTTTTTACTGTCTCGTATTCACAAATTTGAAAATAGTTTCAAATTCTCCAGACCTCTCCCTCTTTCATCCGTTTTGCAAACAGTTTGTCTTGCTTTTTTGCTCATACTCCAACAAACTACACAATTAAACGTTAAAATTTCTCTCACAGGCTAGGCATCCGCGTTAGCTTTATTGGGATTAATAATAAGGCCTAAATATATACGACATTTTGAAAATAAACGTGACACGATTTCGAAAAGTTTACATATTAGATCTACTTAGAAATAAAGATGACGGACGAAATCAATGTGAGTTTAACTTTTTTTGGTTCTGCTCAAAATACTATAGACTATCATTTATGTCTTATAATTAAACTCATTAGGCCTAATAAACTTTATTGTGGATGCTAGTATTTGACTAGATCAAAGTAGGCACTATCCTTACGCTATAAGACTTTCTAAACCAGAAAAGATGGCCTTAAGTTAAAGGAAAAAATATTTTCTTTATGGTACAACATGTAGGCCTATAATATAGATAGCCTATACCTACATATTAAAAAGAAGATAAAGTTCTCCCACCCATGAACACACTATCAATGAAGAAAAATGTTCCCGTTTATTATTATTATCGACTGGTTTAATATAGGCCTATTTGATTTAATATTTAAGGAAAACAGGAAGAGTTTTACGTCCTTCTTTTCTGCCGGGAAAGAAGAAGAGAAGAGATTATTCAGTTAATCAAACCTGGCATGATGGGATGGATTATGTTAAAAAACATAACAAAATAAAAGAGGTTGCAGATTTATTGTTATTAGATGAAAATTTTAGCCCACAAAAAAAAAACAGGAGATAAAAAAAAAATAGTGATGGCCTTCTTAACACACCTACAATTGCAATGGCAACCAAGTAATCCAGGAGGTTGACAAGAGCTATCAGAAAATTAAATATTTTGATACTGGAAGAGGTTCTACACAGCCTTTTTATCTTTAATTTTTATTTTCGATTGGATTCATCCTTTAGTAATAATAAACAATTCCACCAAATTTCGTCTAAACCAGTCAAGAATTTGTTTTCTGGGGTGTTTGGGAGCTTTATATTGAACACGTTTCTAAGAACAAGGGCAATAACCCATATTAAATGTAAATAATTCGCCATTTTGTGGGCATGATTTGATCTTATGTATATGTAAATAGTCTTGTACTGAAATCGCAAAATTCCTTCAAAAATACATCAAACTACGAATTTCGCTATCTATATAATGTCTCTTCTAAATATAGCAATCTCAAGAAAAGACGAGCCACTTCTCTATTTTAGATACCATGGCAACCCATCAGAACCATCGCCTGATTTTAAATGTAGGAGACACCAAGTTTGAACTCTGCAAGCTGATTCTGATTCACTATTTTCTAAATTAAGTTTTCGA